CTTTTGACTCAGTGGCCTCAAGTAATAAAATATTTGCAAATTAGCATTCTTGTAGGTAATTGTGTTGATGATAATAATCAAATGCATGTTCTTCATTTATCCCATTTATTTCCGGCAAGAGGCCCTGTTCTGTCGATCCCTTGTTAATTTGTTGTTGTCATTCAGTCATTTTTTTAGTCAGATCCAACTCTTCCATGACCCCATGTGGGGTTTTCTTGGCAAAGATACTGAAGTGGTTTGCCATTTCCTTCTCCAGCTCATTTTACAGATGAGGAAACTGAGGCAAGTAGGGTTAAGTGACTTGCCCAGGGTCACACAGCTAGTAGTGTCTGAGGGTGGATTTGAACTCAGGAAGATGAGTCTTCCTGACTCCAGGCCCGGTGCCGTGTGCACTATGGCACCACCTTGCTGTTAAACTCCTTTTTAAAAGGATGACGTTTTCGTAGAAATGACGGCGGGCAGGTGATAGGAAAGAGTTAAAGATATAATTTGGTTGATACATTCTTGACTTCTTTCTGTTCACCATATTAAGAAAATGAGCAGCCATATCCTCCCTGATGTTAAGGAGACTAATTGGGTTTTCATTTCTGATCAGTCACCTCTTAGCTCTAGATTAGCATCTGAAAAATCTCAGTTCAGGTTTAAGAAGTGCTTCTGGGAAATAGGATCCAGGCCTAGGAAGCATTCTCATTGAGGAAAGCACAGCGATTTCAGAAGATTTCCTCTTTATTCTGAGCTTAAACATCGAAAGGGAGCATTCCCACACATCCAGCAGTACTGTGTATGCACTTGTGACCATCCATTTCATACCATTTGATTTTTATAAGCATAGAATTCAGCACGGGGCTTTCAGAAGTCCTGCTCTACGTGTCTTTGCTTCCTCCTGGACTTCTTTCCCTTCTCTTTGCATTTTGCACCTTTTGGAGAAGCGTCACTATTGCTCACCTTTCCTTTCCACCTTCAATTTTGCACAGAAGATAAAGAAAACCATTGGAACAAATAAGCACAGTCAGGCAAAGCAGTTCTGCCCCACAGCCGTGTCCAAAATGTGTGTCTCTTTCTGCCCCTTGTTTCCATCCCCTCCATCAGAGGTGGGTAAAATGCTTCATCGTCGCTCTGGAGACATGGTTGGCCCTGGCTTTGAGCAGAGTTCTCAAGTCCTTAGGAGTCGTGTTTTGTCACCACGTTGCTATCCTTATATAAATTGTTCTGGTCCTGCTCGCCTCGCTTGGCTTCAGTTTGTACCTCCCAGGATTCCCTGAAATCAATTAATTAACATTTCTTAAGCACCTACTAGGTGCCAAGCACTGGAGATACAAAAAGAGGCAAAGGACAGTCCCTGCCATTTTTCCTCCATAAGATGATAGCCCAGCTTGGCGGGGCAGGCCATTTATGGCTGTGAGCTCATTTTTTTTGCCTTTTGTAATATTGTTTCCCAAGATCTCTGCTCATTTTTAGCAGAAGCTATGAAACATTGAGTGACCCCAACTGTGAGGGCCTCATACCTAAACTGTTTCTTTCTGGCCTCTTGTAATATTTTTTCTTTGACTTGGAAGCTTCGAATTTGAGCTGTGATGCTCTCAGGAATTTTCATTCGGGAGTTTACTTTCATGAAGCAATTGATAGATTCTTCCCAATTTCATTTTGCCCTTTGGTTTTAAGAGACTTCAGTAGCTTTTACTTTTGATTTCTTGAAGAATGGTATAGTGTTCAGACTTTTAAAATTTTTTGATCATGGTGTTAAACAATTTTAGGCCCTAAGTACCTAAATACTAAATACCTAAGTACCACTCGGGAAATAAGACAAAAAGAGTTTATTAGCGCACCAAGGTGGCTGGGCTGTTGGAGTATTGCCCACCCTGAATTCAAACTGCCCACTGCTTTTACAGACAGGAGGAGACAGCTTCCGTAGAAGGGCAGAAGTATTGCGATTGGTACTCATGAGCAGACGGCATTGGTGCACATGTGTGCGCCATCTTGTGCAGGTTAGCAGCCGTGTGCCCAGAGTCTAAGGGTCATGAGGTCCCTCCCGCTGTCTCTGCCCCCAGGGCTGACTTTGCGCAATGGTTCTCAGGGAGACCAGTGATCCTCCCTTGCCCTGCTCATCAGGTTGTCTTTGATAACAGACACCTAACATGTTCTTCTCTTTTTTTCAATAACATTCCTTTCTGTCTCCATCTACGCTACCTTTTCGAGAGCCTGCTCCTTGGGTAAGGTGGACCACTTTCTCTTCTGGGTGACGTAGTCTCCTGCTTCATTCTCTTTGGCTTCATTTCTTCAGGGCAGTCACATAGGCTTTGTGGGAAATCGGCTTTTTCCTTTAAGTCTCTGCTCACCGTTGTTATGAAGTTGTTGTCTCCCTCTGCTTTGGATTTTGGGGTACCTTTGGGTTCATTACAACTCTTTATATCCATGTTGGTCTGTGTTCTTCTTGCTCATCACTCCAGCTTTAGTTCCTAAATTAAAGTTTTGTTCCAGGGTCAGGCTTCACCTCTTGTGCTTTTGAGTGGGATAGTAAGCCCTGCTTGGTCTGGTTCTGGGCCACCTGGGTTCCTGGGATAACCCCCACCTACCACAGTTATCCCCTGCACTCGCCACCCCAGATCTTTGAGGTTCAGTGTCCTCTATTTTCAGGACAGTGCTAGGGACCTTGGCATCTGGACAGTGAGGGTGCGCTCAGAGTAGGTTAGCCCAGGTCCTTGTGGGGAGAGGGGTCCTGGGCTCCTGGGTCTGAATGCACCTCATCTCCCTGGTCATTACCACTCCTGGGGCTTCCATGGTCTCCACCATAGCTTCCACCCACACTGGAGCTTCGTCAGAGGAGCCGCTCCTCATGTCTCTGACCTACGTCTGGACGTGTTGGGAGGCTGCCATCTGGTTTGCCTGTGCTGGCACTGGTCTGCTTGGAGCTCTTTCCTTTTGCCTGGGGGCTTCTGGCTAATTCTCTGTAGAGTCAGTTTGGAGATGTAAAAAAGCCGCCCGCCATAGTTTCTCCTTGAATTCTTGATCATTGATTCTGGTGCAATTTTTAGGGTTTGGGTTTTGTTCTTAAATGAGGACACAGATGGTCAACTTCCATTTGGGTAGGCATCTTGACCAGAAATCATCAGCAAGACACTTCACAAAAAGTCTCTCATAACATCCCTTTGGGCAGATTGTAGAGATCTGGTGTGGATTCTGGTGGATGACTTTGGTGTCTTACCTCGTTGAGCAGTTATATGCAGTGTGGCAGTTGATGGAGTGGCGGCAGCCTGGAAGGGTCCGTCTGGTGGTCTGTTATAAGGCGTGCCTTGGACCCTGTCCTTTTCAACGTTTTTACCGACAGCTTGGATAAAGACCTTGGGTGTCCGTAAACGCACTTGTCTCCCTAGAGCCTAGACGTGTCGTCTGCCTTTCCCCAGCTCTTCCTGTTCATACCCCACTCTGACCCTCGGGCTGAGGAGTCATACTTCCCTTGGGGGATCACTTTGTAGATTGTCGGTTTCATGGGAAGCGCAGACAAGGTAGAGGCACCTTTACTGTCCACCTGACAAATATTACTCTCCCCTCTCGGGAGGGCACTCTAGTGTCTAGCACTTAGTCCTCTTTTGAGGCACAGCTCTGGGGCTCACGGCCCCTCGGGACCCCTGACATACAGGTACTTCTGCGAAGAGCCAGGGCATGGGGGGTGGAACGCAGGAAGATCTCACCAAGCCCTCAAGTGGTCAGGAGAACAGAGAACTTTTATTGTGCACAAGGGCCTCATAGTGTGCTTAAAACCCTCTACCTGGGCTGGGTGCTGGGCAGAGGGAGGAGGGCGCTGCTGCTGCTGTGGCCTCCCTCCCAGGGTGGTGATGTGATACCATCAGGCAGAGGGGGCCAGAGGTGACAGCCAGGTCCTTTCCATGGTGACCGAGCTGCCTCTAACGTGTCTGTTTATACCAACCCAACTCCATTTGTATAATTTCATGTTTAAAAACAAGTTATGTATGTTTATTTAAAAAAAAAAAACAAAAACTTCAAGCATTTGGCTCTGAATCATTTACTGTCAAGGACCCAAACAGGGAGTTGATCTGTCCTGTATTGTCCCATTAAAGGCACCAATGTGAGCCTCAAAGCCCTCAGAATGTTGGGGGTTCTCCAGAAAGGTGTCAGGAGCTTGGGAGAGATAAAGATAATATTGTTACTGATAACCTACAATAATAAGTTATAAAGAAATAAATGTACAATAATTAATAAACACCAGCCTATCCATACCTGGAATACCATGGGGGTGGAGAAAAATCTCAAGAAGGAAAATTAAATGATGGAAGGAACAGCAGACAGGCAGGGAGCGGCAGAGGAAGACAGATGGAGTGGAGAGACTGTGACTAAGTGGGGGTCCTCGTGACAGGTCACCTAGACGAGCTCCCTCATTCAACTGGGGAGGGGCCTGGGACCTCCAGAGGAAGAGGTATAAGTGTCAGGACAGAGGCCCTCTGTCTCCAGCCAGGACTCTCACCCCTGTACCCGGCTGCCTCAAACCTTTCCAGGGATGGATATGTAGGCTACATCAAGGAAGGGGGAGGTTTTCAGTGATCTAAAAAAAAAAAATTCTTTTAATTTAAAAAAAAAAGCAGCATTTCCCTCTGTGAATCATTAGCTTGAGGTGGGCCCTGCCCCCAGAAGGGGCACAGAGCAGTGGTCAGTTACCATGGCTACCGAGGGCCTTTGGGATTTACCTGGAGGAGGACCAGTTTGTCCGTGACCCCAAATATCGGACTGAATGATCCTCAGAGCCAACTTCACAGCCAGGCTTTTGTGTTACTCAGTTATATCCCAGCATTCCCTCTTTGTTTCAACATCTCAGCACAAGCAGCCCAGAGCTTCTTTTGTCCCAAGTGAGGTTTATTTTAATTTGCAGGTTAGGAGTAAGAAAACCTATCGACGGCCGTTTGTTGTGATGTAGCATGTGTCTTAGTTATGAGCTGGTGGGGCCAAGCTTTCACAGGAGCCTAATGCATATTTGTTTTTTATTTCAGGATGTTGTGTGGGGATTAAATTCTTTATTTACCGTAAGTATAAGAATACATTTAATGTCAATTTTTGTCGATTCTCCTGCCTACTAATTTTAGACATTATGTCAAGTAAATGCCAGTTTGCCAAATACCTGTGATTTCATCAGCACAGAAAACTTGCAAGGGTGAAACATATTAAATGACTTGCCCAAGGTCACACAGCTAGTGTGTGTATGCCTCCACCGTCGCTGAACAGTCTTTCCTCTGTCTGTCTCTGTCACCTTGTCTGTCCAGAGCCTTGTCTCTAGTCACTTAGAGGCCACCTGGCCCACCACGTCTTCTCCTCTGCCCCAGTGGCCGCCCTGCTTTCAGTGTGATCGTGTAGGGACTTGGGTGTATGTCTTTACTTGTCTATTTCCACAGTGGCTCCGGTTGTCAGTTTTCAGAACTACAAAGCAAGTCCCTGCTGTGGTCATTTGAAGTTTTCTGACTTCGTCCTGCCCTTACTTTATCTGTCTACATTAAACAGTTTCTACAACATAAAGTGTGAAACCAACCAGGAGGACTCTCTTAGCCATCCCGAGTGATTTGTAAAGTTCCCTTTTAAATGGCCTTCTCAACAGCAGAGGAGTTATTTCCTATGACTTTCTACCTGTCAGCAGATTAAAGCTGCCCCAGGGCTCAGAAATTTAACAGTCCTTACCATCTCCTGGTGGCCTGCTATGCTCTGACCCTGAACCATTATGAGGAAGGAGAAGGCAGAGAAGCGAAACATAATGATGTGGACTTTACTTTTTAGAATACTTTTGGCCAGAGAAACTGTCGTTTTTGTTGTGAATCTTCATCTCTGTCTCTGGGCTTCCCTGGCTTCCTTCAAGAAACAGCTGAAATCCTGGCTACAAGAAGCCTTTCCTTATCCCCCTTCATTCTAATGTCTTCTCTCTGTTCAGCGTTTCCTATTTCTCCTGTCTGTGTAGCTTAGAGCAGGGACTGTCTTTTGCCGTTATTTGTATCCCTAGTGCTTAGCACAGTGCTCAGCACACAGTAGGTGCTTGATAAATGTGGATCGACGGACCGAAGGAGTTATTAAGTGCTTACGAGTGTCACGTACTGTGCTAAGCCCTGGGGATGCAAATACTAGCAAACGAGCGCCCCTTCCCAGTTTATGTTGTGAGGAGGGGAAGGAAGTAGAGACAGCATGGACTGGAAATTGTGAGGAAATGAGTGAGGCTCCCCTGTCAGAGCCCAGGGGCCACAGCACAGATGGAGGTTCAGCCAGCAAGCTCGCCTCAGGTCCGGTGTGCCAAGGACTGGGCTAAACCCTGCAATACAAAGAAAGGCAAAAACACCCCCTGCCCTCAAGGAACTCCCTCTCTGGCAGGAAGACTATGTACACTTCAGTTGGATTAGTGTAGAGAATAGATGGATAATCGGCCGGCAGCTAAGTGGAGCCATTCTGCGTCTGCTCAGGATGGGGAAATGTATGGAGGGAGAAACACTTCCATAGGTGACTTAATTGTGCAGAATACTTGGATGTGGTTTAATTTTCCGTTCGTGCATTTGTGCTTCTGCTTACACGAGGCTGATTCGGAACTTTGGACCTCGACCAGATGGGGCTGGTTCAGGCTGAATTTTGTGCCATATGCTCATGCTTAGCGTTCTTCTTTTATTGTGGTTTTAAAAAATGGATATTACTCTGAGAAAATGTGGAGAATGGGTAGTTCCTGAAGAGTACCCTGTGAGAGATATCACTGCTGCTGTTGTTTTGAAAAAAGCAAGTATTTTAAGGATCCTTCAAACCTGCAATGAAACATAATCAGCCCTACAAGAAGTAAAGGATGGTCAAGAGCAAAAAACACCACTGAGAGCTGACAGACGATAGCTGTAAAACAGCCTAGGTATAATCAAGCAAAACTCTAGAGGGGCACGGCAGCTAGAGGGGTTGTTACTGCTTCTTTGGCAGATGGATGTAGGCTCCTTGGGTTTGGAAAAACAGCAGAAAGACCAAGAAAAAAACAGCTGCCATGAAGAAAAAATACTTGTCATGGACACGATCAGGCAAAAGCTAGAGCACTGAAGAATGGAAAAGGGAAATTTTCACCCATGAAATCCACTTTGTCATTCAAGGCTATACCAAAACCATTAGCAGAAGCGACCCAAGTCAAGGCTGTAAGATCTGGGCATCTTCTCAGGCTTTAAAATAACCACCCAGAAATATTTGGGAGATTTTTTGTTTCTAGTGAGCTTTGTCCTCCATTTGAGGGAATAAGGAGCTCTCATACATGTATTGATGATATATTGAAAAACAGACTTGTTCTGGAATTACAGAAATTCCCAAATTGGGTTAGAATGCAACAGAATGACTTTGCACCATGCCAAGTGTCATGAAAAGTTGGGAAATTTATCCAAGAGATGGAAATAAACATTTTTCAGTGGCCTGAAAACTCACCTGATTTAAAACTCTTTGAAGACCTAGTAAAAGCTAGTAATAATAGCTTATATTTACATAGTACCCTAACATATAGTATGTTATCTGCATCCTCCAGTTGAGACTTTTGCTCCAAAGGGATCACAGAAAGAAGAACAGAAGCCATATAAAAATATTTATAGCAGCACTTCTGATAGTATCATAAAACTGTAAACTTCTCCCCCTTCAGTTGGGGAATAGCTGAACAAATTATGGTATATGGTTTAGGTATCAAGACCATATTTGTAACATAGAAGAAATTTGGTAGGACTCCTTTTGCTATTTTTCCCACATATTTTATATAATATTGTGATTAATTGTACCTTAAATAGTTGATAGATTTTATTTATAAGTATACGTGATCCCAAGTCCACCCCCTCCCAGGAGTTTATTTATGGCTTATTCAGTTTCTTTTTCTGATTTGGATTATTTAACTCTTCTATTTCTTGTTCTGTTGAGCTGGGCATTTTATATTTTTTGTAAATATTCATCTTTTATTTAGATTGTCAGTTTTTTTGGGCACATAACTGGGCAAAATAGTTTCTAATAATTTTCTTTATTTCTTCATTTGTTTTGAATTAACCTTTTTCATTTTCGATGCTAGGGATTTAGTTTTTCTCTTTCTTTTTATCAGATTAGCTAATAGTTTATTTTATTGAGTTTTACGTATTTTTTGGTTTTGTTTTCAGTTTGTTGGTTTTCTAACCTTTTTAGTTACATATCCAATTTGTTGATCCATTTCTCTTTTATTGATGAAAGTGTTTAGAGTGTTAAATTTTCCCCTAAAAACTGTTTTGGCTGTATCCCAAAATATTGCATTTTTTTTTTATTGTTGTTGACCTTTAATAAAATTATGATTTCTATGATTTGTTTTTTGACCAAACCCATTCTTTAGGATTAAATTGTTTAGTCTCTAATGAATTTTTCATTGTTTCTTCAGCAAACCTTTATTGAATATAACTTTTATTGCATTCTGGTCTAAGCCTTTATTGAATATAACTTTTATTGCATTCTGGTCCATAAAGAGTGAATGCAGTATTTCTGCTTTTCTGAATTTGTAAAATTTTTAATGTCCCAATACATGATCAATTTTTGCGAAAGTGTAGTTCATAGCTGGAAATATGTATACTCCTTTCTATTCCCATTCAGTAATCACTGGAAGTTTATCTAACATTTCTGAAATTATTTTCAGATGCTTAACTTCTTGTTTACCTTTTGGTTAGATTTATCTGGGTCTTAAAGGGATACATTGTGGTACTCCACTATTAGATTTTGCTATTTCTCCCTGTAACTCATTTAACTTTCCTTAAATATTTAGATGCTTTGTCATTCAAAGCCCATATGTTTAACATTGATATTAATTCATTGTTTATGGTACTTTGTCAGCAAAATGTCATTTGTCTCCTGTTTATCTCTTTTAATTAAGTATATTTTTGCTGTTGCCTTGTCTGTGATTGTGACGGTTATTCCTGCCTTTTTTACTTTAACCAAAGTGGGAGAGATTTTGCTCTAGCCCCTTATTTGAACTGTTTGTGAATCTAGGTGTTTCAGATGTGTTTATTGTAAACATTGATTCTGATTTCTGATCCATTCTGCTGTCTTTTTCCATCTTATGAGTGAGTTTATCTCATTCACATTCACAATTAGGATTGTTAATTGCATCATAAATTATAAAAAGGTCCGGTTTCAGGGAAAACTAGGAAGACTGCACTGATACAGGGTAAAGAGCCAGACTAGGAGAACAATTTATGTGATAACTACATTGTAAAGAAAATTATCTTTGAAATACACAGTTCAGTGACCAGCTTCTTCAATGCAGAGGACTGAAGCTGGCTCCCTACCTGACAGAGAGCCCATGAATTCAAGGGACGATGAGGCCAGTGTGGGAACTGGCTTTGTCTGACAGCACATATTTTATTTTGCTTGGGGTGAGAAGGTGGTAAGGAGAGAAGGGTTGAGGACATGGTACCCCGTTTACCCCACCAAAAAATAATTGTTAAGTTATAATCAAGGCTAGACTTAGGAAAACAGACTTTTCAGCAAAAGTGTGTTTACTGTTCGTTGTGGTAAGAATGTAGTTTTGTCATAAAGAATAAAGGAATATGTGTCAAACTCTCATGAACTCAGTGCCAAATTATGCAAAGTGATTACAGAAAAGGAGACTTATGGCATAATAAAAAAAAATTTACAACGTAAAACATTGTGAAGTTGTAAGGTTTATTATATGTCTATCATTGGAATTATTTTCTTTGTCCTGAGAAATTCCCACACCATTGTAAATGACCTGGGCCTTCCAGAGTCTTTTCTAAATTCTGAGAAGCCAAAATCATTGTTAATGAAATCATCTAAGTAATATATTTGTAAGTAACTTTATACATGGGGTTATAGTTAGGATCAAATTAGATGATATATGTAAAGCACTTTGCTGATGTTCAGTGCTGTATCAATACCAACTTTAAGGTTGTTTTTTCTTTTTATTATTTGTTTTGGTTTATGCATTTTTAAAGAAGTGTATACTCACAACCCTTGAGTCCTCTTGTGGAACCAGGATATCTAAGGAACCACAGGAGTGAAGAAAGCTTTGGCTGAGAGGTGGAAGGATCCACATTAAAATCCCCCTCCTGCCACTTCCTGGCTTTGGTGTCTAACAGGCAGGTCACAGGTGATCTGAGGGTCCAGCAAGGGCATGCGTGTAAAACAGCAGCCCTCACCTCTGGGGCAGTCCTTTTCTGCCTGGGTTTTCATAACTTCTTTCTTCTCAGTGATGGTTATGAGGTTTACAGTAGTTGTCTTTACAAAGTGATTTGGTGCCTAATTTTGGTTAGGAACACAGCCCTCGATCCACATATCCCTTTGGGAGAAGGTGGCTCATTTTACAGGGAAGTCATTTTATGTTTCCCGAGAATACGTTGTAATTCTTCCATGTCTTGTTCTGTTTGGTATTTATCTTTGAAGAATTCAAAAAATAAGAGCAAATCTAACTCAATCTAACTGCTTTATTCTGCATGACCCACCTAGACCCAGCCCTGGATGCCCTGAAGCTCTCTAAGCAAACTTTGGCCTTTGGAGTTTTTGTTTAGTTTTGTTTTGGCATTACATCAGATTTCTAGTACTGTTGTGAAGTCTCCATTTTCATAAACGTGAAAACTAATGGACACTTAGTGAATGGGTCAAAAAAGGGAATTAAAGATACTGAGTCAAAACAGGGCTTTATTAAACAAGTTTCATAATTGAAGAATTTCATTTTTTTTAGCCCTGTTCTTGTCCATGTACCAGTGAAGACGCTTATTATGAGAACAGATTTATTTCTACTTACTTCATTACCAAAAGTAGCACCAGAATAGGGCATGCCAACATGGGAAGTACCGTAAAGTTTACAGAGTGGTGGCTTTCCTTGTTAACAGCCCTGTGAGTTGTCTACCCCACTTTTGATTCAGAATTTGAACCCAGGTCTTTTGATATTAGAGCACTGCTTTTCTACTACACCCTAGTCCCTGCCATCTAAGAGATTTTCCCAGTCATTGTGACACCTATTTTCATATTGAAGAGTGAGTTCTAAGTCAGCATAGAATGTGTGCTGGGGTTCTGGTTCACCGTGGCCTTTTCTTCCCTTTCTCCCTGTGACCCAGCAGCCAAGGAACTCAGATCCTGGCTCCCAAGGGTTTTACCACGCAGTCGCTGTCCCTGTCACCAGTCCCTTAGAGGAGAGTGGCCCTCGCAGACTCACCATTTTTCTTACTTTTAGGACCTTCTGAATTTCGATGACCCTTTGAATATTGAAGCTGCGGAACACCATCTGCGGGACAAGGTGAGTCAGTGCTTTGGCAAGCAAACCCGATTGCTTTTCACTGCATAGTTTGTCAGCGAGCAGATCTCTTTTCGTTTCTGGAATGTTAGGTCTTCTCCCGAGTACAGAATAATAAGCTAAGTGACTGTGGAATCCTTAAGGATCATCTGGCCTATCTGCACCCTCATTTTACAGACGTGGAAACTGAGGCCCAGAGAAGAGAAAGGGACTCACCTCAGCTTACAGTAGCAGTGCACCTCGTCTGTGGTACTAATGTCTCATGAGGATTCGTTGTGGCCACGCGTGGAACCTGTTGTATGTGGTTCTGTGCTTGTCTAGTGGGCTTCTCAGAAGTAGCCACACTAAGCCACACCGCCGGGGTCCCTGGGTTATCCAGAGCACAAGCGCTCATCTGTTGAGCTCCAGTCTGAGAGGCTCATCCCAGTGAGGGTGGCTACCAGTTAGGGAGTTGTTCTGACCACAGTGACTCAAGGCAGTCTCCTAAAACACTGCCCGCTTAGAGGAAGCGGCTGCCCTGCTGAAATCCCGGGGCCTTGAAACCCTGAGGACCTTCCTCTGTGGGTTTTTACATTTTTACCTTTCTTTCCCCTTGCTGCAGGACAGCTTCACCTTATTTTATTAAAAAAAATTAAATGTTCTATTGAAAACATAATACTGAACATCAATAGAACCCCCCAGGCTTGTTCAGTAACAATTTGCAATCAATTTAATTTTAGTTAATAAAATGTCGTAACTTTTTTCCCATAACTCGACTACCCATTCCACCATTCTCCAGTGAGTAGAAGCCCTCTCTTGTAACAAATATATGTGTAGTTGGGCAAAGTGAAGCCATACCTCGGTCGTGTGAAAGAGTAGGTCTAGTTCTGTACGTCTGGTCTGTCACCTGTTGGGCACAGGGATAGAAGGTGGGTTTCATTCTCAGCCTTTTGAATTCAAGATTGGTCACTACTTAAGTCAAAGTTCTGAGGGCCTTCCGTGTCCTCCCACCCCCGGTATTGTTTTGGTCACTGAATAATTTGTTTTCCTGTTTCTGTATTTGCATTGGTTCATACGAGGCTCAGTATTTCTCTGAATCTGTTATGTGACTCATTTCTTACAGTATGGAAAAATTACTCTAAATTCAAGTATCACAATTGGTTTAGCTACTCAGGTCAAATCGAAAAGCATTTATTAAACACCTGCTTTGTGCCAGGCACTGGCCTAAGCACTGGGGATACAGAAAAAGACAGAAAGACAGTCCATGCCCTCGCAGAACTCACAGTCCAACAACATGCAAATGCACTTAATTTTTTGAAACAACAGAAAGTACAGCTAGAAATATTCTTATCCATAAGGGATCCTTTCTGTCCTTGTCCTCCTTGGAGTACATGCTTAATAGGAGTATCACTGAGTGAGAGGATATATATAATTTAGTGACTTTCTGGCTATGGTTCCAGAATGATAGATTGGATGGCTAGCCTACCAGAAGCACATATTTAGGGCCCGTCATCCCCCATCCCTTCCAACAATGGTTATTATGCTCTTTTGTTGTCTTGCCAATCTGATGGGGATGAGGGAGGACCTCCGAACTGTTTTAACTTGGTTCCAGTCAGCTAGCATTTATTTCAAGCTCCTCTGTGTCCCAGGTACCCCTAAATCCTGGCAAATACAAAGAATGAGCCAGTCCCTCCTCTGGTGGAGTTTACATTCTAAAGGGAGAGACAAGTACTCATTGAAGTTTATGTAGAACAAGTATAAGGAGAACAAACAGCAGATGGCGGGAGAGGGAGAGGAAGAACCGTAGCATTGGGGGAAAGGCTTCCACTAGAAGGCGGTGCCTCTGTGAGGCCTCAGTGAAGGGCATCAAACCAGGTCTCCCACATCTTACGGTCGAGTCATTAATTTTTTTTAGCCTAAATATAGGCCTTCCCATTTCTCTCTGTTCAGTTTTGTCTGTTTGTTTTGAGCCGTCCAAGCCCCGGGTGGGCATACCTTCTGTCTTCTTGGCTTCATCCAATCATCCATTGAAAATGCTGGGCTGGGAACAGAGGCCTGTGGAATGCCAGGAGAGAGAACTCCTTCAGGTTCCTATCAGTTAGCATTCTTTGGATATGGTTTTTCAATAAGGGATGAAATCCTTCAATCTTCCATCTGCTAATCATAGAATCTCAGAGTGAGAGGGAGCCCCAGCATGTAGCTCACCCTCTGCCTGAACATGAATCCCTTCTCCAACATTGCTGACCAGTGGGCCTCCAGCCCCTTCTGGGAATCCTTCTGCGAAGCCCTGGCTCCCAGCTCAGCCTTCTGAGGCAGCACCGAGCCAATCGAGCCCCTTTCTGCCTCAATCCTTCATCTACCTGAATCATTGTGTGTTTGCCCCAAGAGCCCTTTCCTCTTCAGGTTAAACATCCCCATCTTATTAAGTGATCCCCGAGTGATCTAGCCATCAATTTGTTCTGCCTTCTCTGAGTGAACACTGGCTTGTCAGCGTCTCTCCCAAGATGATCCTCCAGATGTGGACTGATGAAGGCATGTCAGATAGCCCTCCACCTCACTCTGGGCCTCTTTGGCCCCCAGTGCAGCCCAGAACACTGCTGGTTTTGTAGAACTAGCCCTTCACCCCTCTGGAGGATGGAGTTAATGACAGTCACTGGAGGCTGCTTTCAAGAGCCAGGTGATCGATTGACCAAAGGTAATAGCTTAGAAAATGAAAGCTCTGTTTGAATGGGGCCAGATTACCCCAAAATCCTCTCAGAAGACAGGACATCTGTAGTCGTGATGGAACAGAAATTTTTTGGCAATCAAGACTTGCTTTTAATTTTAAGATCTTTTTCCATTGCAGAAATCTGTACAGAAAAGTAAGTTATGGTTATAAATAGCCTCCAATCAAAAGGAGCTGTGGAGGTAGTTGTTCTCACAAGTGCAGGCCTTGTCCCTGCTTTGACAATGTCTCCTTCGAACTTGCAGCGTGATTGGCACCGGCTAGGCACTGAAGCTTGAAGTGATCTTTTGTGTGTGATTTCAAACGTTTTTCAAGATTTTCAGTCACTTAAGAAATATCAGCTAAGCTGTTAAAGCTAAGCTATTGAAGGACAAAAAAGGAGAATGAAATAAATGTTGGGATCTTTTCATTCCCTCTTTAATAAAACCTTATTTTCCCCCTCAAAAAACCACTTTCCTCATCCATCTTCCCAATCACTCAAGCTTAAAACCTTGAGATGAGGTTGCTGGTTCCTTCTTTTTGCCCTAAGTGACTAAGGCAGCAACGTCTCCTGTCTCCATTCCTGGGCCAGACCCTCCAGACCTCTTTGCTGGACTCTCGTGGTAACTTCTGGCCTGCTTGCTCAATTGCCAGGCCCTCCCTTCCCATGCCCTAATCCATCCTAAAAGACGCCTCTGATTAAGCATTTCCTCGCTCACAAACCTGGCGCACAAGGACCTCTGCAGTCTCCATGTTTGTTTCCCTGCACACCATCCTGCGGGGGGGCGGTGGTTGTCCTCTACCTTTGCTCACGGTTCCTTCTCTGCCTGGAATGTCTGCCCTTCCCCTGGAACCATGCATCTTCACCTTGGCCACCTTCCACTGGGCGGGCCCTTCTTTACCACCTTCCAAACAGCACCCTAGGCCACACCCAGGAAGAGCTCAGCACCTCAGCTCATAATGCCCCGGACTGTCTTTGGCTGCTGCTTGTGTGTGTCTCTTCTTTCTTCTCTTCTCCTTTTCTGAAGACTATAATCCAATATGTACTCTCATTGCCCCTGAAATGTCAATCAACTGCCCTATTGTTCTACTCACCATCCGTCCCTGTGACTCCCCAGTCCACCACACCTCACGGGGATTGTCACTGATATTAGTATAAAGGTCTTTGAGGGCAGGGAATGCTTCCCAAAGGTCTAGAACAGTGTCTGGCACATAGCAAACCCTGAAATACTTTTTCATTGATTCGGTCAAAGTGACTGAAAAATACGCATTTGTATATTAGCCGTAGCTCCCTTCTTCACTCCAGCAGAATCCTTTGCTTGCCTTCCAGACCTCCAGGCCTTGCCATCTCCCCTAAAGGTGTGTGAGACTATGAGTTTCTTGAGAGCAGAAGAGGTCTCACTTTTCTGTCTGAATCCCCAGAGTGCAGCCCAGTGCTTTGCACATGGTTAGTACTTCAAAAATACTTTTTTCAGAGCAGCTAGGTGGCGCGGTAGAAGGAACACTGTCCCTGGATTCAGGAGGACCTGAATTCAAATCTGGCCTCAGGCACGTAACACTAGCTGTGTGACAGTGAGCGAGTTGCTTAACCCCATTGCCTAGCCAGAAAAAAAAAACAAAACTCTTTTCATTCATTCATGATTTACCAGTGCAGACCATTTCCAAAAGTCCAGTCCAAAACAATGTTAATTACAGTGAGGAACTTTACCAGGTATGTGATCAGAGCAGACCATTTAACTTCTCTGAAGCCTCAGTTTCCTCATTTGTAAAATAAGGGTAATGCTTAAGAATACTTGCCCCGTAGGGTTATTGGAGAGCTTTAATGAGATAATGAATGTAAATGTTAAAGCACATTTGTGTAATAGCAATTGTTAACTCAGGGTCTTATCTCTAGGAGGTAAGTGCTTGGCCCATAGTAGATACTTAAATGCTTGTTGATTAACTGAATTGTTTGATTTACATTTTCCGTATATTAAATTTCTCTCTTTAATACTGTGAGGATTGGTGATTTCATTAGTGGGAATACGTTTTGCATTGATAATGCTCGCAGCCTGTCTCTGACTTAGTAGATGGTCTTCAGGAGTTAGCATGGCCAAAAATAAACTGATCTTGTGACTGTGGATGAGTCTTCCTGGCCTGGCCCAGCCAATCCTGTAACAGTAGACAAGTGGTCAAAGCCCTTGGACCCTTCCAGCTCGTTAGGGGCTACTGGAGCTGGGGAACTCCTCCATAAACTGGGAGAGCCCTGGGTTGTATCCACGCTACGGTCAGGGATAGAAATAAGATGAGTGAAAGAGAAAACAGTTAATAACCAAAGGAC